GGTGGACTCCCACATGGCTGACTGTGGTTGGAGTCCTGGATTTGGCAGCTTGCTTTTTCATTCTCTCTCTCTGGTGAGTGCACTTGCTCTGTAGCAAAGTAAAATAAATAAATAAATAAAATAAATTCTTTAAAAAAAATAATAAAACATGAGCCGAGAGTAAAGTAAAGTGGAGAAGAGAACAGGATTTAAGATCTTGGAGTAGGATATGATCTCTGACTCACCTTGGCATACATCACTTGGCACAGTAACAAGCACTTGACTCACAAGCGTTCAAGAGTAATTCTAGTTTGGCCTTGCTTTTTAAATCTAGCCAGATAAGGTTTGTGGTCTGGGGTGGGTTTCTTTCTTTCTTTTTTTTTTTTTTTCAAAATTTTATTTATTCATTCGTTTATTTTAATTTGACCAGAGAGAGAAAGAGAGAGATGGAAAGCGAGACAGCAAGCCACCAGGTCCAGGACTGGAACCCTGGTTGGCTATGTGGGAGTGTCCAGCACCTCAACCACCACACCACCTGCTGGTCCCATGGGGTGGGTTTCTTAAGGGAGACAGGCTCTGACCAATATGGCCGGTCCAGGACTTTAACTGGCAAGTCTTGGAGAAAGTCCACTGTGGGAGAGGGCACCCGACCAGGAGCTGGTCTCAGGAGATGAAGGATGGCATGGCACCTTACAGAAAAGCAGCAGTTTACCAAGAGTCAGTGCACAGTAGAATAAATGCACTGGACTGGGTAACTTGACTTAACATAGGGTTCTGCTTTGTCACCTGCAGTATGCTTATGAGCAAATCATTTGCCTTCTGGATTTGTTTACCCAGTCTGGAAAATAAGCAGAATACTAGCCTCCCCGTCTCATCTCATGAGGTGTAATTGAGTATGTCAGAATGCTATGAAAGGTTTTTCAGGCTGTGCAGATGCATTAGTGACAGACTGAGGCTGGGAGCTGGCGGCATGGCTTCTACTCCCAGGTTTTGTGCTTCCTCACCCCACATGACTCAGGATGAGTCACTTCACGCCTATTCCACGGAGCCTCCATTTCCCCATCTGTAGAGCTCCCTTCTAGGGTGATTATAAGAATTCAAAATACGATACAGGGCTTTGGAAGGAAAAGTGCTAAAGAAATGTGACAGCCCGATTTCCCTGTTTATTATCCAGGGAAAACTCTGTTTAACTTTCAGAATCAGTCTTTGCGCACCCTTCAGCTCCATCAGTAATGGCCTATAATGAGCACTTCCTGTGGGCAGAGCCTGGCCCTGTAGGGGGAGGGGGAGGGAGAGTGTGAATTGGTGACATGACAGTAGGAGAAGTAGCCCTGCCTTCACAGAACTCTCAGTCTGTCTTGGGGGATAGGACAGCCACAGTCCATCCTTAGGGAGCACATTCGGAAAGGGCTGCTAGCCCTTGCTCTTTAGAAACTTCCATGGTACAGGCCTACTTGAAGGAAGAAACTAGAAGCACATGCTCATACAGACACAGGCAGCAAACAGATGCGGGAGGGTACTGACTGTGTCATGGTCACGTGAACAGGTCATCTTCCAAGAGAACCCTGTCTCCACACCCGGTGAAGCTCAGTGTCTCTGGAAAGCATTTGAAGTGCCCCTGAACGTCTTACATTGGGCACACACCCACGGCTAGACAAGGTCTGTATTCCCTCTGTTTGGACTCTGTATTCAGAGACTGTCTCCTTTGGAAGACACTAACCGCTTCCCAGGTAGTGTCATACTGAAGGACTCTGAGAAAGCCTTTTCTTCTGAGGGTGGTGGCTGTGGAGCTCATCAGAATGAGGCTCTTACCTGTTGTCCTAGTATGAATCTATGTCTACACTCACCCTTGAGGAGGAGTGTGGTCACTGTCTTGGGAATCTTTTTGATTTATATGAATAATGACTCATTTGTTCCTGTCCTCTAAAAAGACTATTGGAGCCAAATAGTCAACTAGAGAAAAAATATCCTTCTGGATGGAATTTTATATTTTGAGTATATTGATTTTTTTGCAATAAAGAATTCACTCCATGAATTTTCATCTTGGTTTTGTTTTCCATAGTGTCCTGGTAATTGCTAAAGAGTTGATCTCAGAGTGAAATATATAGGACCTTAAGTCAGAGTCTAAAAGCTTGGCTTTATGAGAATCATTTGTAACCTTTTCTATAAAGACTTGGTAAGAGTAAATGTTGCATTTACCCTCATCAAATGTTCCAGCATCAGAATGTATTTCTAGAGTGCCAATACTCTGTGGTCTAGATGTAAAAGATTATATCCTAGAGAGGGGAAGAGATAAACTGAATATAAGTGTCCATCAACTGTCTCTTTCAAGTCTGGTACCTGTGACAGTCTCTTTAAATCTCATGAGCACAGGTGCACTATAGCAGAAGCCACACACAAACACCCCCAATCACCAAAACCAAGATAAATAATAATCAGAGAGAGAGAGAATTAGATAGATTTAGGGACCCCTGTTGGCGGGGGAGGATCTTGCTACACTGCAACACCCCCACCCCTGCCTTCTGGCTAGGATCACAGGCACATCAGTGGGGACACTTGTCATGTTCAGGTCAACCTGGAATCCAACCTCTAGGCCTTCCTTAGGGTTCTAGGATTGCTTAGTGATGCCCAGTTGTCTGCCTGTGCCACCGTGACTGGGCCGGTAGTTTATATCTTTTTACTGCTAACTAGTGTTCTATGGAATAGATGTACCACAGTTTGTTTAACCATTTATCTGTTGAAGGATACTTGGGTTGTTTCCAATTTTTGGCTATTATGAATAAAGCTGCTATAAACATTCATGTATAGGCTTTTATGTGAACATACATTTTCATTTTTCTGGAATAAGTGCCCAGGAAGGTAATTGCTGGGTCACATGGTAGTTGCATATTTAGTTGTTAGTAAACTGCCAAACTCTTCTGGAGTGACTGTACCATTTTATATTCCTACTAGCAACACATGAGTGATCCAGTTTATCTGCCTCCTCACAAACATTTGGTGGTGTTATTATTACTTTTTAAAATTTTAGCCATTCTGATAGGCATGTAGTGATATCTTGTAGTTTTAATTTGTGTTTTCCTTTTTTTTTTTTTTTTTTTGAGAGGTTTTTGTTATAGTGCGGATGACCACATGCACTCGCCAGAAAGACAGAGAGAGACAGACAGAAAACGAGAAATCACTCCCCCAGGGGGGGATGGCCACGATGCAATCCCTTCTCCTCCCTGCTCCTCTCAGGATCTTGGGCATGCATGCACACGTGCTCAGTGTGAGTTTAAGCCACCAGGTCTGGTACTTGAACCATGGTCGGCTACATGGGAGTTCAGCGACATAGCCATTACGCTAACTGCTGGTTCCTTAATTTGTGTTTTCCTAATGGCTAGTAATGCTGAATATTTTTCACGTGCTTATTTGCCATCTGCATATCCTTTTAAAATGTCTGTGCTTGCATTTTACTAATGTTCTTATTGGATATTTTTATTGTTGAGTTTTGAGATTTTGTGTTATAGAATAAATATTCTAGGTAGTATTTCTTTGTTGGATATATGGTTTGCAAGTGTGTTCCCCCCACCCCCCGGCCAGTCCTAGCTTGTTTTCCCACTATCTTAATAGAGTCTTTTACAGAGCAAAAGCTTTACATTTGATGAAGTCTAGACCATCAGTTTTTTCTTTTATGGATTATGCTTTTGGTGTCAAGTCTAAGAACACTTTGCTTAGTTCTAGATTTTCTCCTACAATGGTTTCTAAAAGTTTTGTAATTCTGCATTTTTAAGTTCATGATCCATTTTGAATTAATTTCTATGTAAGGTATGAGACTGGGGTCAAGGTTTATCTTTTTGTCTTATGGATGTTCATATTCCAGCATAATTTGTTTAAAAAAAAATAAAGCTTCTGGGCCAACCAGTGGCATGGTGGCTGGAACCCACATGACCAACTACATGGTTCTTGTCTCAGACCTTGTGGCTTGAAAAACACTCCAGGGAGGTGTCTACACATGCCTAAAATTACAAAAGGAGACATGGAGGAGAGGGGATTATGGAGTGTTGGTCTAGCCTTGTGACCCAGTGGTTAAGCCCCTTGCATTGGGAACCATATCCTACATGGCCAACTCTGGTTCATATCCTAGTCCCGGCAGCTTGGAGAACACATTGGCCATATGTGTGCTTGCCCCAAATCCTGAGGGAGTAGAGATATAGAGGAAAGGGAATTGTGGCATGACCACCCCCAACTAAAGGGTGCTTCCTCTTATTTCTGGTGAATACATGCACCCTATGGGAATAAAAAAAATTGATTGTTGAATAAAGTTGTTTAATTTTCCTGAGCCTGTTTCTTACCTGTCACATAGGAAGTGAATTTAAAAAGTTTGTGGAAAGTACAATTAAAGTATGAGTTTATTTTGGTGCAAACAATTTTAAACATATCTAATTTTTAAAAATTTTGTTATTATTATTATTATTGCTATAAGGCACATGCGCTTGCCAGAAAGACAGAGAGAGACAGAGAGACAGAAAGTGAGAAATCACCCCCTGGGGGGATGGCCACACCACAATCCCTTCTCCTCCATTCTCCTCTTGGGATCTTAGGCACACATGCACATGCGCCTTGCATGAGTTTGAGCTACCTGGTCTGGGACTTAAACTGTGGTTGACTACTTGGGAGTCTAGTGACATAGCTATTATGTTAACGGCTAGCCCCCCCAATTTTTTCATCATACACATTTTCCATGAACTTTTTGAATATCCCCTCAGAAAAATAATTGTCTAAAAAAATCAGGGTTGTATTTCCAATAGCAAGATGATAAATGAATGTGAATTATTTAACACACTGCTTGGCTCATAGGAAGCCAAACAATAGTTTGTTTTGATATGATTATTTCTATTATAATATTCACTTGTGCTCCTCTCATTATTGTACCTAATGATCTATCCAGAATATCATGAGCATTTGTCAGTGACTGATGTTGACTGGTTAGATGTTTACAATTAACTCCTAACTTAATTTTCTTGGTCATATTTTCTGTACAGGTCCTGCAGCTGGGCTCAGACATTCTTCCCCAATACAAGCAAGAGGCACCAAAGACTCCCCCTCACATCATTTTACATTATTGTGTTTTTAAGACCACATGGGATTGGATCATCTTGATTTTGACCTTCTACACAGCCATCTTGGTCCCTTACAATGTCTCCTTTAAAACCAGGCAGAACAACGTGGCCTGGCTGGTTGTGGATAGCATTGTGGATGTCATTTTTCTGGTGGACATTGTGCTGAATTTTCATACCACCTTTGTTGGACCAGCAGGGGAGGTGATTTCCGACCCCAAACTCATCCGCATGAACTACTTGAAGACATGGTTTGTGATTGATCTTCTGTCCTGTTTGCCATATGATGTCATCAACGCTTTTGAGAACGTGGATGAGGTTAGTGCCTTTATGGGTGATCCAGGGAAGATTGGTTTTGCTGATCAGATTCCACCACCACTGGAGGGGAGAGAGAGTCAGGTACATCCCTCAAATCTCAGACCTTGTTGTCATGTCTTTAAACCTGAATTAAACGTTGGCGGGTGGTCAATAGGAGAGTACTTAAGTGGGTGGGCACAAGCATGACTGGTGTCCAGAACAGAGGGAGCATGCCTGATGGATTCCCTTGCTTGCTATTCCTTTCCTTTGGAGGTGCAGAGCCCTGCATGTCAGTGAATGGGAGTGGAAGAGACCAAAGGCTTCCTCTGACTCCACATGGAGTCCAAGCTACTGGCTCTGGGGTGATGGGGCTGCAAAAGCAGACATGCATGGCCACCACCCTGGTGACTCTTCCACTTGGAATTCACGTACTGAATGTCCACCTACCAATTATTGTAATTATGGGGACTTTTCTTTTATCTGCTGTTGACCTTTGACTGTTTTATAGCCAATTAAACTCTTGATAACAGAGATGCACTTGCCCCTCAAGTTTGGATTTTCTTTTTCTTTCTTTTTTTACCATTTTTTGTTCTTTTCTTTTTTTTTTTCTTTTCAAATATTAGAGTGACTTATTTCTTTGCTAACATGAGTTTTGAAGATGAGCATTTGCTGAGGTCATCAGGCATCTGTGTATCCTTAAAAGGAGTGGTGGTGTTTGGGGATTATGCTGCTTTGGATGGTTAGTCCTGCAGGCAATGGAAAGAATTAAAAGATCAATGCCTTGTAAAGTGGTGGAATTAGGACATGCTTAGACAGGTTGTCTGAATGGGCAGCTGGAACCGTTGTAGCAGGAAAGGGCCATTGGGCTGGTTAAAGTGATATTCTGCTTTGGAAAACAAGGATATTAAGTCATTGCAAAGAAAAATGTCAGATTCTTCCCTAGTCTGTGTTCCATGGGGATCATTCTTGCTTTTTCCTACCTCTCCTTGACATTCCAGATGGATTAAGATAAGGTAGTTCATCTGGCAGATCTTCGGCTTTCTTTGGCAATGGATCCCCATTGCCTCAGATTAGGTGTCACTCTGGCTGGGTTGTTAACTGGGTGGGTAATCTAGGAAGCCTCCCTGGAGGCTGAGTTGAAGCAAGACACACTTTTAGGACTAAAGGCTCCTGGGACTCAGTCTTGAGAGAGTGGGAAGGAACAATGACTCTAGGCCCTGTTGATGTCAATGCCCCTCTCTGCCTTTAGCTCAGTACTGACCAGCCGGGGAGATACCATCCCTTTCTTTGGGAGACCCAGACAGACCACCTACTGCTTCTTTCTCTCGTGAAGAGCAGCTCTTCCTAAGTACAAAGCTGTGAGAGAGCTAGGGTGCTCCAGCGCTGGATTCTGGGCGACCCCTGCTTTTGCTTCTGTGGCATGTTTCAATATACTTTAAACCCCCAAGGACGAAGTCTCTGGGTGGCTTCTGTAGATTTTGTGGTGGGATTAAATGAGTCAAGATGGATGATTTACAAGAGCAGAATCAACCCTAAAGTGGATGCTGGGATTCTTAAATGTGAATTTTAGTACATGTTGGGAATGATATTTTTCTCAGTGAGCACATTTCTAGAAAATTTTATCTTAGTAGGAGAAATATGATCATTTTGGCTTAGGTAATTCAAATGAATTATCACACTCTAAAAGAGCTTCTTATAAGCAGATGGGATATGAAATTTAACCTTAAAAGCCACTTATTATTATTATTGTTATTCTGCCATAGGGAGCATGCACTTGTAAGAGAGAGGCCAGGGTGGGTAGGGGGGAATGGCCATGCTGCAATTCCTTCTCCTCCAGTCTCCTCTCTGGATTTTGGGTATGCATGCACATGTGCTCTTTGTGATTTTCAAGTCACTGGGTTCGGAATTTGAACCTCTCAGTCAGCCATGTGGGATCCAGTGCCTTAGCCTCTATGACATCTGCTGTTCCCCAATCCTAATTTCTCAAATAAAGCACTTGCTAATTATAGCAATGACCCTAAAGTTTTATGGATAACTATCCATGGTTCTTTTTAAGAGATTTTTGCTATAGGGTGCGTGCGTTTGCTAGAAAGACAGACAGAGAGACAGAGAGATGGAAAGCGAGAAATCACTCCCCCAGGGGGGGGATGACCACACCACAATCCCTTCTCCTCCATTCTCCTCTTGGGATCTTGGGCATGCACGCATATGTGCCTGGCATGAGTTTAAGCCACAGTGTCCAGGACTCAAACTGCAGTCGACTACATGGGAGTCCAGCGAAACAGCCATCACACCAACTGCTGGTCTCCAGCTTCCATGGTTCTTATTAAAAATTGACAGAGTTGGGACCAGGAGGAGAATGGAGGAGAAGGGATTGCGGTGTGGCCATCCTTACTGGGGAGGGATTTCGTGTGGCCATCCTTCCTGGGGAGTGATTTCTTGCTTTCTATCTCTCTCTCTCTCTTTCTGGTGAGTTCACGCACCCTGTAGCAAAAAAAAAAAAAACAAAAAACCTCTTCAAAAAAAAAATTGACAGAGTTATAAACACACATGTAAATGTGCCAGGATTACCTGGCAGCTTAACAGATCGGAGTGCTTCTTCCCAGGAACTTTAGATACTGGGTTGGAACTCCTTTGGCAGTAATAGTAAGTACCTCTGAGGGTGGGGTCTAATTTTTAGATTCATGAAATATGTTGGTAATAGGAAAAAATGTAATCTATACCTTTTTAGTCGGTAAAGGATTTAGCATCAAAGCTCCTACCACCACTTCTTTTTATTTTTATTCCTGTTAGAGTATGTGTACATACACGCACAAGAGAGAGAGAGAGAGAGAGGGAGAGGGAGAGGGAGAGAGAGAGAGAGAAGGGAGGTTAGTGTGAGGACACTGAGGATTTGGTTCTAATGCTCTTGGTATCATCTAATAGGAGAACTGAGAACCTTCTGTGTGTCACTTAGCCTTTCTGGATCACAGTTTTCCTACCTATACCTTGTAGATAGTAAAAGGGACTTCAAAAAGTTTGTGGAGAAAGGAATTAAAGTATGTCTCTTTTGGTGTAAAACTATTTTCAAATCCACACATAATCTTTTTAGTAATATATTTTCCATGAACTATTTGAGGACTCCCTTTCCTTATCACTGCTTTAGCTGTGTAAGGGCATGACACTTAGATAGAAGATTGCTTGAGTTTCCTGCCACCTCCAAGGGCTGAAGTTTGGCAAGTTCTCAATACCATCTGCAGTGGTCTCACCTCCAGAAATGGACTGTAAAAACAAGAAGCCTAGCATTCCAGCCTTCTACTTGCAGTGGAGGTGGGAGGAAGGTAAGGAGAGAGGAGGCACTTAGCAGGTGAGGAGAAGACCCACTAGAGACCCACTGCACGGCCTAACAGGACTGTGTAGTCTTCTCATTCAAACTTCTTAACACACAGATAAGAAAACAGGCTCAGAGGGGAAATGACTCACTGGAGATCACATTACAAATCTTATGATCACAGAAATAATGAGTCCCCTCTGACACTTCTCTGTTCTTACTGGTTTTAGTGGCATAGAAGCAAAACACATACTGACAGATACAGCTGCATCCAAACTGACCAGGAAGCTTCTGATGTGTGTGGCTCACCCCTTTGCTTTGGCCAGTTGGGTTTGGTGGGGGTAGATGGTGAGAGGGGTTAGGTGTGGGCAGCCTCATTTCCCCCAAGGCAGTTGTGCTACTGATAAGATGGGCAGTTAAGATGCTTGCTGAGTGGCCAGCAGGTGGCATGGTGGTTAAGGGCCTGGATTCTCCGATGGCCAACCATGGTTTGAGTCCTAGACCTGGTGACTTGCTTTCTCACTTTTCCTCTTCCTCTCTCACTCTGTTCTCTGATCAAATGAAAATGAATGAATGAATGAAGTTAAATAAAATAATTATTTAAAAAAATAAGATGTTTGCTGAGAGACAGACCCAGCACGGTTGTCCAGGCACAGTTCTTTGTGAAAAGATGCCATTCAGTTAGTGTGAACCAAGGGCTGGTGGTGGTCGGAGAAGGCAGGGGGGGCCATGAAGGGCACCCTCCCTGTTGGAGCTGCACTAGGCTGGGAGGGGGGAAGTCCTCTCCATGGGAGAATGCTGGTGAATGGCTCATGGGTTCATGTGCAGCATATGCTCTCTTTTTACCCACAGTCTGTTGTGGAGACACTAACCTAAGTAAGATTATAGCTCCCTCTGTTCTAAGAGAATGTGGGAAGAATAAGAAATTATTGACTCATTTCTCATAAAAAAATACAAAGCACTGCACTGTCTCTGGTGTCTTGCTAATTACTCCAGTGGATTTGTGGCCCAGTGGAGGCCACCCAGGAAGAGGCAGAGGAGCCGTGGTGACCGCCATCTGCGTGTGTGTGCAGTGAGGTGGGGAGCTCTGGCAGTGAAAAGATCAGACCCACCCAAAGCCTGGGTCAAGAAAGAACAAGGTAAAGTCACCAAAGCCAGCACTGGTGAGCTCAGCCCTGTTGATGGACCCCACGTCCAGGATGGAAGCCATGCCCGATGTGAGCCACAAAGTGAGCCCTTCGGCTCAGCTTGTTTCGCTTATGTAGATGGCCATGCTTGCGTCATTCTCCAGTCTGTTGGTAATAATCTGTCTTGGAGGCTGTTTGGGAACATGTTTGCACATTTGTTAAACTGGTTAGAGGACAAGAGGTCTGGAAACTGAGTGAACTGAAGGTTGGAATGGGGATGTCGAAGCAAAAGTCAGATGAGTCTCTTTCAAGCGCTTAGTGGGTTATTGGCCAAGTGTGCTTCATGGATTAAAGATGGATGAGATTATTATTGACAAAATAGGTCACTCTCCACAGGAAACCTTATGCTCATTGCTACTGGAGTGTGGAAGTGCAAAGGGGAGATGGGTCCAGTCAGGATACTTTTCAGGTCATGGTTTTGGTGCCCAGGAGCCTGGAGATGACCAACAGCTTCCTTCTGTTTCTGCCTTGGTAGCTTCAGACTAAAGCACACCCAGCTAGTGCTGCTGGCACGCCTGACACATGCCAAATACCTGTTCTCATGGGAGATGCTTAGAGGAGAACAGGACCGAGAGATGGGCTGTTGAACAGGTAACAGCACTGCC